AAAAAATTTAATGCAATGTCAATTGCCATTTACTGTCTTCCTGATTCTTCTTCTATGGTTCTTGCACCCTAGTAATATTTCTGTTTTCTAGTTCTTTCAAACTCAGTAGACCCTTTAAAAAAAACAAAAAAACTATTTACACCCCCCCTCTCTCTGATATGTACATAGGCTGTGTCCTTGAGAGTAAGCACTTTAAACCATAAATATGGCATACTGTAAAATTATATTTTTACACACACATTTATCTATATAATAAAAATTTAATGGTCAGAGTTGAATTAGACCAGAAAACAGCAGTATTAAAAAGTGCTCAATACAAAAATAAAAAAGATAAAAATTTAAATTATAGAGCTTTTTAAGTAGAGAAAATTAGGAAATCAGCTGATTCCACTACCATCTAAATTCTGCTGATCTAATTTTTTTATATATATATATATATATATATATATATATATATATATATATATATATATATATATATATATATACACACTTTTCAGAGATAGACATTCAGAAGTAGATAATGTTACGATGATAGAGCAATTGGGCCTAACATATAAAAATAAATAAGTCTGTTGGATGAATTACTGAACATTTCAGCTGAGAACTTTTCTCACATGAATTTTGACCTGAAATTTTTACTGTATAATATTTACTATATGATTTCTGGTTTAACCACATTGACAAGAAAAAGAGTTGGTTAAAAACATTTTTTGTGTTAAATGTTTTTTCACAATTAGGCTGTTGACTTATTGATAAGCTTACATAATCTCCTGTGATAAAGATTTTTGTATTTATGTATTTTTGTGAAACATAAAAAGAAGAAGAATCATTTCATGTTTTAAAATGGTTTCATAATAAAATGGGATAAATATAATATTATTAAAATTTTGTATCATGGTTTGAAAATAATTAATTCCAAAAGAATCTCATAAACTTTATTGAAGTGTTCACCATTTTACAAGGGCTTCCTCCCCACTGCCTGTCTGTCATTTAAATCTTTTCTCTCTAGCTGGAAAATATGCTGCCAACATTCTTATACCTTGAATAGGTGAAGTCCAAGGCAAATAAAAAAGATAATTTTTCAAATTATTTTAATGGAAAATGTAATCACATTTCAAGCTATTTAGTACAAAATTATTCCCAGGAAAATTAAAAAAAATATTTTATTAATTTTGTTTTTGTTTTTTATTTGTAATTAAACATTTAGAAACATCTTTTATAGCTTTATTAATTTTTTAAATAATCACTGAAGAAAAAAAACATTGCAATAAATATCCATATAAAACTTGCTGCATAATGAAAAAATAACATGTGAAAGTAAAATGTCAGCCAACTAAAAACATGAATTGTAACACTGAGGTCATTAGAGTCATCTAATTCACACCTCAAACAAAAAGGTGGAGGTCAGATGAATATTATTTTGAAACTGACTACCATAAAGAGCCTAGTAGGGAGAAAAATTACTTCACAGTTATTATACTTTTTTTTTTTCAACAGGCTTATTTCATTTCAGAAGAATTGTAAAATTGACAGAAGTTGTAAAGTTTTTGGATAATATAAAAATTTCTATTAAATATCTAAGAATAGTTTTGCAAACTTCATGTATTTTATTTTCTCAATGTATGTTAATAGCTGCATCCCTCTAGGCAACTCACATTCATAATAAACTGCCTTTTTTGTTGTTTTTGCCTGAATGATATAAACTGAGAAACTTTGAGAAGAAATTTTGTTTCCAGAATTTTTTATCATTATTTCAACCATTTGCTTTCAGTCAGTATGAGAATTCTTTTTCATTTTAATTTTCATTCATCGTTTATTTTATATGGAATCTGCTGCATGTTTTTATTAATCTAATTATTTTAGTGTTCATTTATCTTAAGAACAGTCAATGAAAAGATAAAAAAAAAGTTGCTGGCTTTAGAAAAGAAGCATTTTTAATTTCATAATGTGCTTAATGATTTACAAGTTATAGTTATTATGAATCCACCTAAATTACTTCAGCCTTGGTTTCTATGCAATAGAATAAACATGCCTTTGTTAGGTTCTAAAACTGCACTTTTTTTTCAGGCTCATAGTCATGTTGTTATTTATTTTTATTAGGTTGAGTTTGCTCAGACATTCATAAGTCTATCTTGCCAACCATCATGGTTCCTGCATCAAAGTTGGAATGTCATTAGGGAAGCATTCTTTGTCATAACATAGCTAGTCAATGTAAGTCATCGCTGGGCAACCAACTCCTCTTGCTCCATGGCTAAGTGTCCTGAATAGTAGATGACTCATGGGTTTTTGTTTTGCTCACCAGCTGTGTCCTACAAAGCACATTCTGCATTTGTGTAAAATTGTAGAAGTCCATACAGCTGTGATTTAGTTAGAAACTGTAGGGTTTTAGTTAATGTCCAGGCAGTGTGATCCCATGTTCTTTGCACTGTCTCTGAAATTCTTTGGAAAGGAAAAATCAGTGCATTATCCATAACCAGCATGTGAAGATATGCAAAGTGAGTGAAATCCTCCTTGAGCAGATCTAGAATGACTTTAGTGGATGTAAATGACATTCGGTGAATACATAGATACCATGAAAAAGCATCAATGATCACCAACCAGTTCGTACCCATAAAGTTGATAGCATGATCCATGTGTAAGCGGTTCCATGGCTTCTCTGGCAATATCCATGGGTGAACTGCAGGCTTTTATTGTTTATTTTGATGTTTGCCACACAATTCACATCATCAACTAGACATCTCAATAGCTGTTTAAATACCAGTAGACGGTAGCTCTTGCTAATTGCTTCATATGTTCCATGCCAAAATGTTTGACATGCAGTAGATCGAGGATATTGGGCTGTATGCTCTGTGGAATCACAACTCTTGATCCATGGATGAGGCATTCGTGGTAGATATAGAATGAAGCTGACAATTTCTGGAACTTTTCAATTTCATCACTGGTTTCAGTGTGCTTTGGTGGCCACCCTTCACTGACATAGAACATCACTGTAGATATCACTGGTTATTTCTCAGGTTCTTGATGGAAGATGTTGGCATTTACAGGTTTCACTTGAAAACTGCACACCATGTCCATGTCTTCTCCACTTTCCTCCCTGTTAGTCATCGTCTCCAGATGGCAATTGACTAAGGGCATCTGCATTGCCATGATCTGCTGTTTTCTGGTATACAACTGTATAGTCAAACTGGTTTAGCCACTAAGCCCATTGAGCTAGTCAGCTAGCTGCAAGAAGTGATGTCCCTCTTTTATGACTGAACAGTGCTGTCAGTGGTTTATGATCAGTAACCAGTATGAATGGATGTCTGTACAGATATTGGTAGATTTTCTGCAAGTCAAAAATAATGGCTAGGACTTGTGGACTTGGCTGTAGTTTCTTTCTGCAAATGTGAGAGTCTTGGACATGTTGACAATTGGGTGGTCTTTTCCATCTGGATTGTGATGAAACAGGACTGCTCCAATTCCATTATGTTGGACTCAGTCAAAAGGCTTGTCCAAAAGGTTTGTTTGGAAAACATTAAAATGTACAGTTGAAAAACATTTTCCTCAGACCAAGTGTCTGAGGATAATATATTTTACAACTGTTTAAACACTGCTTGTTTTTCATCTCTCTACTTCCAGGGAGCTGCTTTCTTGGTTAAATGATAAAGTGGCTCAGCCATAGTGGACAGGTTTGGGATGAACTTCCTATAGAAGTGTACCTTGCCCAAGAAAAACTTTAAGCATGAGGCATCTGTAGGAAGTGGCATCTTCATGACTGCCTTGACCTTGGATCCCTGCACAATTACTTCAGCTGAAAATGTCTGGTCAAGATATTCCATACTGGGTAGTGTGAACAGGCACTCTTCTCAATAGCATCTGAGTTCTTAGTTGTTCAAACAAGAAAATAAATGTCTCAGGTTGTTCAAAATGATCATTGACATCTTGTACTGACAAACATATCATCTTGGAGACAGCAACCCAGGCAGATCACTAGTTAGGTTCTCCATGATCTCCTGAAGTAACCAGGTGCTGACTTGATTCCAAATGGGAGTTGTTGCTCAGGAGTACTGCATAATGAGTGCTGAGGGATAACCTGTGTTGACTCTCTGTTGCCAGCTTGATCTGGTTGTAGGCATAAACAAGGCCAATCTTTGTGTAACTGTATCTGCCTCCTAGCTTCTGCATCAGTTCCTTTGGGAGTGGCATTGGATGACAGTGTTCCTCTAGTTGATCATTGATGCCTACTGAGTAGTCACCACAGATCTGCAACTTTGGCAACAGGGTGCCCAAACTATGGGCTTTGCAATCAGTACCACAGGCATTCCATATTTGATGAATTGGACTTGCTTCCAGACTTCTTTGGAGATGCTTTCTTCATAATCTATGACCAGGTCATCCTGAAGAGCAAATGGAACTGGTCATGCTTTCTTAAAAACTGGCTTCACATCAGATTTGAACTTCACTTCTAGTTCAAAATCCTTAAGACATCCCAATTCTTCTTTGAAAAGATCTGGGAACTCATGAGAGAGATTGTAGCAGTGTTGTTGCAGGGAAGCATAAGGCTTGTCAGAGGTCTTGGGATGCGATGTTTTTGCACACTCAATTATATTTTGACTTTCTATGCATCTCAGTCAAAGAGCATTGTCAAAGAGATTCCCAGTGTTTGGATAGCATTTTGTCCCAGCAAGTTCAGGTCAGGGATCTTGGTGACAATGTAGGAATTGAGCTTTGTTTACCAGTCCTTTGGATTCTTTGTTTGGCCCATAAAAGTTCCCAGCACAGGCAGGTTGTTTTTGCTGGCAGATTCATAACAATGTCCGACAACATCCAGTTTTGGTTTTTCCTAGTTGTTTCCAGACTGGCAAAGAAATGAAATTTCCTGTAATTGCAGTGTCCCATTCCATTGTGAACTGTTGGTCCTGGATTGTGATTGGCACAACCAACCTAGAAGTATCATCACAGAAGATCATTTTGACAAGCTCGGCTTTCATGATTCACTTCACAGAAGGTTGGAAACAATGTTCCTGTTGCTATCATTTCTTCTTCCTAGAAACAGCTGCCAAATGACAGTGGCATTTGACTTCTTTGTAGTGGCAGTCTGTCTTTTTATGAGCCTTACCACATCTGAAACACTCATATTCACGGTCTGTGGAATTATGATGCTTGTAGTTTTTTCATTGACCCTTGTTCTGGCTCTGCTTGACCTTGTTGACAGGCCTGGTCATGGATCCATAAACAATTTCTTTGGTAACCTTCACCACATTTTCGGTCTCAATAGCAACCTGGAATACACAAGCTAAGAGCTTTCAAGACAGCACTTCATTGTTGACACAATGTATGAATCTCTAAGAGCTTCATCTTGTGGGTCGGTGATCAAAGGAAAGTCACAAGTAGCAGCGTCTTGACAGTTTTGCCTGGCATCCGTTGCATGTCACTCAAGAACTTGAAACATTCTCACATCAAACTTGCTAATATTCTAGTTAATCCCCTCTAATATTAGTTAATCAGCTAAATTTGCCAGTTGTTTATAGATGGTAGTAGTTTGATTTGTCAAGAAAACCTAAGCCTTGCACTGATCAGGCATGGCATTGGCCACAGTAAAAGTGCAGGATCTTGACCAGTATTCAGGTCACAGTTTTGATATTAAATCAAAAGTAACAAATGGTAGGATAGTACTTGAAGAAGTTGGAAGAAGTGAGTTGGACTGGAATCCCTTTGGAAAGTTTGAAATTGATTCAGCCTTCTCAAAGCCTGTCTTCTTTTTGCTGCTGTGCCTGTAACTCCATTTGTTCCCTTTGAAGTTGTTGTGTGAATAACATAATCAGCTTGCCAGTTTATTCCACCATTGTTGTGGAAGTAAACAGTCCACTCACCAAGGATAGTCTTTCTTATTCTATCGATGACTCCAGTTTATCATGTTTCTTTCATTCACTTGCAGCAATAATACAAATATGTAAGTTAACTGCCGCTTTGTATAGCCATGCGATTAGAACATTCTAGAGAGTTCTACAACTTTCCATTCAATTCTATTGGACAGATTAACATTTGCATTAGACAGATTTGCATGCAGCAATTTGTATTGGACAGATCTAGATGCTAGCAATCTTCACAGCAGGTATATGAAAGATTCAGTAGATTTTATTGACTCACCTGATACAATTTGTATTGAATCCTGCTAGTTGAAGCCTATGAATTCAGTTTCAGAGGCATTGACATAGTCCAATATCATTGGCAGCATTTTTTCAATGATGTAGGTGTATACAGTGATAACTAGATTATCTGTATATGTCAATATCTGTCATCTTTTATTAAAAATAAATTAGGTATGCAAACTGTATTTTTCCAGTTTTGTAAATACATAAACAAATTTAAATCTATTAATAAGCTGCTGTTAAAATATTTGAGGCTGCTGTTTTTGTTTAGAAATATTCCAAATGAACTAAAGCACGACATAGTCATATAACCAAGAACTTCAAAGATTTGCAAGTCAGTTTTAGAAATAGTTTTATTTTTTTTTTTGAAGTTGTTATTCTAATTTATTGCTAAGTTTCTAGAGATTTTGCAATGCTCTTCCGCTAACAAAATACTTAGTAATAGAAAACAATACAAAGTGATTATAATGTCTGTCTTAAGGGCATTATCATGAATTTATGAAAGCAGAGATGCATCAGAATTTAAGACTGTTGAATGTTGTACAATTATCTTATGTTGACACTTTTAGCTGGAAAGATAATCACTTAGCTTAGTTTGCCATAAGGCAGTGATGTACAAAATGAGGAAAAACAAACTTAAGAACAAAATCTTAGGAGAACAATTTGCCAATCAGTAAATCATAGCAAGTGTTTATAGATGAGTGAATAAACTAGAATCAATATTATTTATGAAATGAGAAATCCTGTAACATTGACCAAGACAAATTTATTGTTTCACTCACTGTATCATTATAGATTATGTGCCTTTACATGGTAAACTTTGAATCAATGAATCATTGGTCACAGTATCAGATGTAAGACTGTCCCTAAAGACTAATGAACAGAGTGGTTTGATGTACATGTCTCTTTGTTGCTTTGATGTTTTCTTTTCTAGCATAGATATACAACTTTGGAAAGTTATCTTGATCACTGGCTTGACAATGTCCTAGACAGGACTCTCCATTTCTGTGTTTAAACTTAATATGCTTACATGTTGTACAAAATAAAGTTGACATATTCTTGAGATTGATTAAAATTTTTGAATAACAATAAAAAAAAAAGTCTGAATACTGTAGCAATATCAGTGTCAGCTGATATGTTGTTAAATGGAAAACAGCTGACCTGACACAAAAAATGGTTTCAGACTATCAACTAAGTGAAGTGGTCCTCACAATGACTATGACAAGCAGCTCAGACAAAGAAATTCACTGAATGAAGATAAAATACTTTTTTAGACAAAGATGACAAGGCAAAGAACAATGTACTCTATAAGACAGTGGCCACTATCTGTTAAAAGGGCAGAAGGATGGTGAGGACCCACAGAAGATGAGACAAAATGTAAGATGCCCATTAAACTGTTCTCTCCCCATCATCCATACCTCATCTCGGTTTTGCTCATCTGTAGCATTAGGTTACAACCTGAGAATAAAATCTGCTTACTGCTACAAATTCTTATCTTTTTAATTTCTGGATGATAATGTGACCAAAGGGTTAGTTTTATGTCATAAGCGTTTGACAGAAGAAGTCACACTCTAAGAATAAACCTGGTGTTTGATCTGAGTTGCAATGCTACAATACCTTTGCAAAAAAATTTTAACAAAATGGATTATTTTAGATACTGCGCAAATAGGTACTCCAAGCTATCATCTTCCTTACTCCAATTCTAATGCTTGCCAACAGTACACAGTTATCTGACCTTTGAATTCCTTGTTCACAATTATGATGATGATGATGATACAACAGTTATCTGTGTCTCTCTTTCTATTCTCCAACTTTTCAAAGTTCAATATTATAATCTGGTGATCTCTCCTTATGGCTACTACTATGGTCTACACTGATTTACTCATCCCATATTTCTCTCATTTCCCCCATGTGTCCTTTCTCTCTGGCAGCTTTAGCAGAACTCTCTCAAATGTACCCTGCACATGTATATGTCAGCTTGTTACCAATGACATGTCAGTATAATTTGACCATACATTTATGTTCAATAATAGACTCCTAGATTAGTTTCTTTTTTTTAATATAAACAACTTAATCTGAAGGGGTTTTTAAGATAATTTTTGGTTTCAGTCAATGAGATAATTTATGACTTGTCCTTATTTTTGCATGACTTGCTGAGTGAGTACAGATCCATACCCAATTACTAACTTAGCTTTGATTCCATAAGAAGCCCCCGTCCTGGGTATGACGATAAAATACATCCGCGTCTTGGGTAAGACGATAAACTATGTCCAGCAGCAAGGCCTCTAATCAGGAGGTTTTGAGGAGTGTGGAACCACCTCTTAATTTTTGGTGTTCCAGGTTCACCCTCACCTGTAGCACCTGTTAGGGTCCCAGCTATGGGCAAATAGTTAACCCTGAAACTGGGGTAAAAATGGGTTTTAATACCAGGAATACTTTGCAAAAAAAAAAAAAAATCATTATCAGCAATAAAATTTTGAAGAAAAAAATTATTACCAGTAATACTTTTTTGAAAAACAAAATATTACCAACAATAAGTTTTTGAAAAAAATTATTACCAGAAATACGTTTTTGACAAAACAAAATATTACCAGCAATAAAAACTTTGTTGGCATTAAATAACCCATTGAGGTTGATATGCCGTAAAACAAAACCAACCAGACCAAACCATAAGAAGCCCTCAATCAATCTAATTTGTTGAAACTAATTAACATTTTAATTAGTTCTTTTCCTATATAAATCAATAATTGCAGTCATTATCCCCCCCTCCCCCGCCCAGATCTTTACCATAAAACCAGGTCTTTCTAAGCTTAACTTTATTCATTGACTGCTGTCAATCTTCCTTGGGGCTCTACTCCCTACATACACACATGAGTAAGTCACCACCCACATTTCTTCTAAGTGATCTAATTTTTGATTTTACTATCTAAAACTCTAACAAGTTCAGACTGTCATTCTCATTTGGGCAATAGAATTAGGTTTTAAAATTTATTTTGTAATCTTATGAAGCTTGATAGCATACAATCAGTTAATAGAAAAATTAAACTAATATTTCATTTAAAATATGATTTCTGTTAATTTTTTTCAGTGCTTACACTTTGGAAATTCTTGTTTTCTTATTGACAAATCAGAATGTTGTTATTCAAATTTAGAAACTTTCACATGAACAGAATCTTGGTTGAAATTGCAGTTGATTTTTGAACAGTTATGTAACTTTTGTATTTGTTTAAATGGTTTCTAAATTAGCCAAACAAGTGTGTGCTGTTAAAAAGAAAATATTAATTTCTCATCTTTCATTTTCTCTAATAATAATAATAATAATTGGATTAATAATAGGCAAACAATTGACACCCAAGAGTGAGCCATGACTTGAAACATCATGTTGGCTCATTGATTTCTGTTTAACATAAGGATGTGACCTTGACTAATGAATGATAATGGTTTCTTATGGAACAATGTGAAACTGGCATCCATTAGTTTTGACTTGCAAATTGTTATTTCCTCTTTACATGATAATAAATTTGTTGATTGTCAGTGTCGTAGTGTTTTGTATAATATTAATCTTTCATCTTTATCTTCTATATAATGCAAATGATAATGATATCTGTACAGATGTTTAACTATATTTTTGTTCTGTGTGCTTGGTATGTGTACTTAAGTATAAGATGAAATTAGTTATGTTATACTGTACATATGAACAATAATGGGTACATTCCAATTCTTATAAATACAGTGGTATATACTGTATGTTGTCTTCCACATGGGATTCATTCTGATTCACTTCTAGCTCACCAGTAGCAGTTGATTAGTTCCTACACGCTGTTGGCAAATCTTGTATGTTGTTCCTGTTATAAATATTATCGTTCCATTTCCAACCTTTGTTTTGGTTATTCTTATTCAGTAACCTTTTCCTAGATTACAACAGTTAAGTTGAAAGAATGAAAAAGTTTTAGTTAGGTTCATTTGGACTATTACTAATATAAATTATGATACAACAATTAAATCATGATTAAAAGGAATATATTTCGAAAAGTTTTTGTAACCTCAAATATAATGGGTAGGATTTATTATACAAATACATTAACATCTTCATGGGCTTACATGATTACATATAAAAAGACACAATCTGTGCTACTTGGAAGAAAAATTAGGATTTCGCAACAGTTGCCCTGGAAATCTAGTATACATGAGCACCAATGTATTTTATATTACAGTTACACAAAGCATGTCAAAATGGATTTTAAAAAAAATCACATGATTCCAAATCTCCTACAATGAAGGTATTCTGTTTTGAATTAGGGCTGTATATATATATATATATATATATATATATATATATATATATATATATATATATATTATTTTAAGTTATACTATACTTATGGTTAAAAGGGCTCAATATCAGGGATAGAGCATATGCAAATATAAAAGTGGACACTGAGGTCAACACCAAGCAGCCATAATCTGCTTCATGTTTGAATGCAATCAACTTAAAGTGACAAAAGTAAATAAAAAGAAAATTCAAGAACCAATAAACAAACCAAGAAAAAAAGGAAATGGAAACATAGACAGAAAAGACAGAAGCAAGAACAGATCGCTACCTTTGTAATTACAGGTTGTACCCAACTAAAACAGAGACAACAAATCGTTAACTGGTGACACTGCATAAAAAAGGAAAAAATGAGAAACTCAATTCAAATCACTACATAGTTTCTTGCAAGCCATATAATTATATATAATAAATATGTAAATGTCAACATTTTCTTAATGTTATGTGTATTTTCTGTTGTGATCAAGCATAATTTCATGTATGGCACCCTAAAATTATATTTACCAATGAATGATTAAAATAACTTAAAAAAAATATTGTTTCATTATGGCAAGACAATGTTTGAATTCATTATTGCTCTTGTTTGTTTCTGTCTTTTTTCATTACTTTATCTCAGATATAATTTTTTTGATGTTTTCATTTCATTGTTTTTATTACTATGTATATCATTTTCTTCTGTATTTTTCACATATACAGCATCCTGAGAAGATCTGAAAGTGTATGCACTTGTTAGAGATTAAGGCATATTATTTATTAATGCCACTTGTCCATAATATCATAGAAAGATATTTCTCAGAAAACATGAAGCTCATTAATGTGGGCACTCAATTACATGATGTTAACAAATATGTTCTTTTCTATGTCATTGCGGCTCACCTTAACTTTCTGTCTTTCTGGTTACTGTTCTGTTATCCATTTAATCAGAATTGTCATCTAGATGACTTGCGCTTTCTTCCTGCTACCCTGCCTTCATTTGCTCTGAGTGTGTTAAATTCTCTAAACCTTTTTTTCTCATTATGCCTCTCAAACATTTCAACTGTCTTTTTCTGACTCTTAGCAGCAGTTTCTCTGTAATTCCTATTCTATTGATAACATTTTCATTTTTCAGATGCTCTGTTCATAGCAGAAAAGAAGATATCATAATTCAATTGTCTGACGAAAATATTCTTTTGAAAGTTTTTTAAATCTATTTTATATGACAAATAGTTTTTATCAATATTATGAACAACTTATTTTAATGTTGTTTATTCCATCTTTTAATTGTAAAGAAAATGCTGATGAATTTTATTTGGCTAACCACAGAAGAATGATCCATTTTGTAACATCCATTTATATACTAAAATCTAATCTCTAACTCATTGAAATAGTGTACTGTAATTTACCCCCCCCCCCCCAAAAAAAGCTTGTAATTAACAACTGAATGATAATATTCTGGAATCTAAAAATATATAAATTCTAAGTTGGCTAATGAATAACAGCTAATTATAAAAGTATTATTCCATATTTATTTGGATATGAATATGAAAATCTGGGTGTAAAAAAAAAAAAAAAAAAAATTTAATATAATATATAGAAAGTAGCATATGTGATAATATTTAATATAATACTTAATAAGATTTTTCTTTCATAATTTTTTTCTCAAATACTGACCTGTTGTGTCATAGGATTGTCTAATAATAATTAGAAATTGAATAACTGCAAATTTCTTCTGTTTATCTGCCTACAAGTATATTTTTTTTCATGAAGCATTAAGAGAAAATATGAAAACCTCCAAATTGTGTGAATGGAATATTCATTATAAAATTTAATTTTAAGTTTAATGAGAAAAAATAAACAAAATATATCCATAATTCTTAATTTGTTAAAAAATGAGTTGCTGTTTCTTAGCAATCTGTGTGTTATATTAATTTCATTGTATCCCATTGTTTTTCTAGGTATCTGACCCACCTGTTACCCTGGATATAACCAGGGCTGATTTTGGCAGATGCAACAGTTTACGGACAACAGCTGAAAAGGTAATTCTTTTTTTTAAGTTTTTTTTCATGAATTGACTAACAACCACAAATAATTTTACAAGCATTTAAAATTTAAAGAGTTTCCATATTTTCACAGTACTCACCAACAACAGCTTCTCAGAATTCTTCATAATATTTGCTTATAAGAAAAGCTTTGCACTATTTACTTTACTGTATTTTTCAATGCACTTAGATTGTTTGTTACCACAAAACCACAATACAAATCTTTTTTTTGGCAAACTTGGACCTTGATACCACAAAAAATACTATTATTTGACACTACTGTGTCTCCTAGGCAACGTTTATTATTTTAAAAGCAATGATTAGAATTGTTATAAAATCTAAGCATTTTATGAAGGTGAATTTATACATTTTTTTTGTTCTTGAGAATTTACAAAAATATTAAACAGTATTTATAAGCTTGTTTATTTACAAGAATAATTTTATATTTACAACATTCTAAAAACTAATACTATACTATATTTATCATTTATCAATTCATAAAGAGATATATAGGAAAATAAGTTTTTATTGATAAATTTATAAGCTTTTTCTAAACTATTAAAATATGTAAACCAAGTTTAAGGAAATCCTTACTATTTAGCATTTTATGAAGTTTGAATCAATTGGCAATTTGCCAGCCTTTGGCAAATATTCCAATAATATAATAAATACATAGTGTAAATAAATAATCAAATAAATAGTGCTTATTATTTGTGTTGTCATTTCTCAAGAACAAAGAAAATGTATAAATTCACTTTCATATGTTTAGGTTTTATTATAATTCTAATAATTGTTGTTTAAACCAATTATGAAGGTATTTGTGAATAAGTGACATTAATGGAAAACCATCTTTGTAAATGCACACTAATCTGAAATGTGACCATGTCAGCATATGTCAAAAATCATTGTTGTTATATCAGCATAATGAAAAACAATAAGACAAAGTATTTCACCATTAAACATTTATTCATTTTGCTTAACTGCTGTGTAAGCTTCAAACTGGGGTGGTGAAGAGTTTGATGATTGTTCTTTAAGGAAAGGTACTATCCACACTTGAACTGATATTCTCTCTTTCATCCCTGAAGGTACTTCATATGACTGTCGATATCTTAACCTTATTATCATTTAAATATCACCAATGTGTTGACTGAAGTAAGATATATGATATGTCATAATTACCTCCTTCATGTTGGAAATCTTCTGTGGCCAGTGGTCAATTGAAAATTAAATTATTCTTCAATGGTGTCATTGCCTTGGTGAGAGTTAGGAACATTCCCTATATGTTCTGCCTAATCTTCACACTTCTCTTCATGGGCAGCCTAACAAGGAGCCAATTTTAAATTCAAGTCAGCAATAGATATTTTGGTGATTGGATTTGAAAGCTATCAGGTACTGCTTGAGTCAATATTGCTTTTCTCAGTGAAAAGAGAGTAAACAATTTGAAATTCAAAAACAGGTATTTTCAGAAGTGAACTGAACTTTTTTTTTACTACCCAAGACAATTCAATTCTTTCGATCAACTCGACAAGGTGCATTAGATTTAATTTCTGCTTTAATCATATTTCCCAGATATTGCCTAGATTAAACTGATTCTTTAAATTAAACAAACAGGATGACACTCAGTTCTACAATAATCCTGATTTTTGTGGCTGTATGATAAAGAACAAGTTAGAAATGTTCCATTTTTTACTTTTTTTTTCTTATCAGTAATTTAATCAAATTTTGAAATGATTTTACATTTTTAATTTTTAAAATGCTTATTTTTAGTTTATTTACTAATAGGTATTTTTTTTTTTTTCAATAAATCAAGAAAAAGTTCATATGACCTATCTGGTTGACCAACTAAAGAATTTTACATTAAAACACTCATCAGGGCCAGATGTTGGATAAATTAAATGTAAGATATCTAAAGCATCTGGCCTTAAACATTTTGATCTGAAACTCTTGAGTCAGTCCACCAGATATGTCACTTGTACTTGATTTACTGATATAATATAGCTCTAGTTATCTAATGAGCACTTATCAGTAGAACCTCTGCTAGTTTAAAACTTTCATTTAAATTCTCATAATTTTAAAATACTTTTTCAGTTGCATTATCATACACACATATATATATATATATATATATATATATATATATATATTAATTTAATACAAATATAAAATTTGTCACTTAGCTGATTGGTGTTACCTTCAGCATCCCATCTCTAGAATTTTGTAGATGGAGTCTCCAGTAATCACTCCATCCACTCGTCAAGGGTATATCAGCAATTGACTGTTTTTGTGTGATATATGGCTCTATATATCATACTAATAGTGGGTAATTAAATGACAATGTAATATTTTATGGTATGTGCTAAACTTTTATATTTACATTTCACTTTCAAATGTGTTAAGAGCATTAATATGACAGCATTCTATGAACTAGTCCCCAGCCACAGGGACTCATTAGCCAGGTTTTTGAATGGGCTTGGTCATGAATAAGCTGGAGACTGCTGGTAGGGATGTACCATTTGTAACCTAAAGAAAGAATCATTTTAAGTAGTCATATCTCATTAGAATAGCTGTTTATTCATCAGGTCCAGGACATCATCAACCAGCTCTCTAGTAAGTCAATGAAGGTGATCATTTACCAGTTCAGAGTAGAACATTTCACTTTGTCATGTGTGATAGACAAGGATATGAAGTATGTAATGAGAAGAAGGTAGGTCATGTGTGAAAAATCCATATATCATCCGTAACATGGTCTTGTATTTCTGGTGATTTGAATCTCCTGCAATACAACATCAGGGAATTTCATTGAGAGGGAAACCACTGGTATCATAATAACAAAGGAACTTGTTGCAATCTGCAATCATGGATGTAATGTAATGACATAAATAAGAACTATTCAATCTGGGCAATTTTACTGAATAAATTTTTTTTTCTGTTTCTTTTTGATTTTTAAACTTGAACATGGATTCAATTCATTTTTAAAATATACTAAATATTTCCTCTTGAATATCTTTGATGTTCTTTATATTACAATGTTTCCAATTACCTGATGCACCCTCTTTCATACTGCTCTCTCTCACACATATCTCTCTATCTATCTATCTATATATATATATATATTTGGGTAGAAATCTTTCTTTAAACATATTTTGTTAAATATGACAGAGAAGTAAGTTTTAATTTTTTATTGAGTTTTTCTAGAGTTCTCACATTTTTCATATATATATATATATATATATATATATATATATATATATATATACCCACCACCCACACAGAGTTTTTTGAAGAACAAAAGCCAAACATCTTATTCATTTTTCAAAAATTAACCAACAATCTTACCCTGTCTTATATAGTGAAAATAAGGTTTGCATTTAAGTGTGATATTTACAAATCACCCAAGGGGAGTAGAAAGTGGGGTTGTTGATTTCAATCTTACCGGGAATGACTATAAAACTTCCCCGCTACTCTTTTATAGGTAGAAGTCCACAGATGGGATATTTTTCTTAATCAATAAAACAAGTCAGTTTACAATTTGACTTGACTCCAGATCTGTATTCACTTGTCTGACCTGACTTTTGTGTGTAGATGCCAAGATGTGTAGATGTTAGTAAACTTTTTGTTTTCTTACTTATAAATTTGCTTTGCATATATTATTTGCTTCTTTGCTTGACATTTTCATTTTTGTCTTTTTTTTATTTTTTATTGCAAACTTTGTCAATTCTGCTTGTTAGACAGTTCTGTTATTTATTTTTGCATCTGACCATGGCTATTAACTCATCAAGGGTCTTAAAAATAACTCTCAAATTTTTCAGTGCATTTTGTGGTTAATTTAGAGTGTGGATGATATGTGCTACTAAATAGAGGACATTTTTTTTCACTGCATAAAAATTAAGTTTGTGTTTTATTTCTGGGCTAATATACAATTGATGCATCTAAGAAATATATATTGTCTGTGTTGTAATTCTGTGAAAATACAAAAATTGATTTTCTCTTGTACAAACTTGATCCTACAATTGTAAAAAAAAAAAAAACTGTTAAGAGACATTTGTAGATATTTCCCCATAGATGGGAATTTTAGAGAGATAAAAAAATGTAAATAAGTGATTACATGTATTAAATGTTGTTTTGACTCTGAACAATTGTCATTTGCATGATGTTTGGGGTCTGTCCTGTCTCTGAACCACTCTGGGGATAATTTGAGAGAAGTGCCCACCAGCATGACTCTGACAGGACAAGAAATGTGTCAGCTAAGAAGTCTCTGTAGAAATAAATATTGGTCATTCTGAGACCAATGTAAAACTATTACTCTGCGGAAGTATCAAAGGAATTGGGATGGAAGAATTTTGGTATAAGCATCAAATCTCTAGAGGTGGCAAATAGGTTGAAGGCTATCAGTTTAATCCAGCATGGAAAATAAATTATATACTTTTGTAATGGTAGCCACCATTTCTCAGAAAGGAAATCTGGTACAGATTTCCATATCATCCTCTAAGAAAGTCTAAGTGTCTAGCTTATGAGTATTGTTAAGCAACAGTTCTCTCTAACATAAACGTATTTACTTTAGTAAATATTTGTAAGATTTTTTTTCAATCTCTAATTTTTCTTGATTATATAACCATTTTGCTTGTTTCATTTCTATGCAAAAAAAGCAGTCTTTTATTTTTCATTTTGTTAGGCATAAGGTTTAAAATTTGATGCTGGAAAAGTCATGGAATTATTAAAGTTGATTACATCTTATCTTTAAGATTTATATATAAAAGCAGCAAATCTTATGGGAATCTAGTCATAAATATTAATGTGTATATATATATATATATATATATATATATGATCAAAATAAAAGTATAAAATTTAATATTACAAGACATATTAAACACAAAAATAAAAAAAAAAAAGTTTCGAGGTTTTTTATGCTCAGTTGGCAAGACTCTCTCCTACCTCTGTCGATACAGTGACTAATTTGAAAGCCCAGTTGAATAATTTCGCACACACCCTATGTA